TATATATATATATATATATCGAAAGCACCCGAATGAGAGAGATCCGATAACTATATAGGTATGGGACTATATGGTTTAAGATAACATAAAAATGATTATTTGGGCTACTCATAACAACAATGTGCACCTACCTTTTCGGCTGATTATCCCTAGAGAACTGCTGACTCTGGAGCAATCTTAGGATGGGTGACCTACTGGAAAGTGTCTCGGTATGCATGTAAGTAAGGACAAAACACGTTGGAAGGTCTCGTATTGTTATGTGAGGCAGTTTCAACGGTTCGTAGCGGCCGCGGTCGTTATAGATGGTACCAGAGATGATACTCTCCCAATACAGTGTGGTTCGAGGATGAACCATGCGGATGTTGGTGGACCTATAGTATTCCGAGCTATGATGAGGGTTGAGAGTGTTCGCCAATGCGATGGAACGATCAAGGAACAACTCCCCGAGTACCACTAAGGCCAAAGGGATACAGGATGAATCGAACGCACCCTAATGAGAGAGATCCGAGATAAAAAATGAGACTTTATGGTCTAAGATAACATAAAAAAAGATTAGTTGGGCCACTCATAGCAATTAGGTGTACCTACTTTTTCGGTTGACTATCTCGAGAGAACTCTAAAGTTAAACGTGCTGACTCTGTATATATGTATGTGCATATTAATATATAAATATTTATATGTAAATAAACATTTATATATGTATATATATTAATGTTATATGATATCAGAAATTTAACTTGGAGTAGTTGGATTGTGACGCCCGTAACCCGTGTCTCGCTCACGAGTTGCGCCACATGGACGCTCAAACCACATATTAAAATAGCGGTAATTTTTAAAAACATTTTATATTATATATACACAGCGGAAATAGGTTTACATAACACAAACCCACATACAGTAGTATACACACCATAATACAAAGACGGTAAACATGATATGAAACAAGGTCAAGTCACCATCGGTAACAAACCAACATAAGTACAAGAAAAAAAAGGTACATGATCCAGAAAACTCCTCACGCGTCACCAGTACCCTCGTCCTGCCGCTGCCAAAGCTGCTCCGAGCCTGAAACGTTGTATAACAACGTCCATAAGCTACATGCTTAGTGATTACTTCGGGTTAAACCCGAAGATCATACTCAAATTGCAAATGACCAAGCACAACCAATATTATACACACACTAGATATAGGCGTATAACATATATACACACCGCATGCCATCAAACCAAGTTCACTCAATTGCACAAGTACACATTTATCAAGCACACTCAGTCCGAATGACAAGTCATCGGACATAACTGTCAAATCCTCTCTATGTGCATTATACACATAGGACACCGCACAGATCTGGTAGCACCAGTCCAGGACACATATACCAGTCATAGCTCGACCCATCGGGTCTATCAGTAATGTCAGTCCCATCAAATCATCTCCACGTGTGCATCACACACATGGGTAAGGACTCTCCATGTGCAACGCACATCCCTCGCTCTCCTAGGCCACGCCGGAATAATAAAAACACATCAACCCAGTGCCCCACTCCATAAAAATATATCACATCAACCATCCCCTCTGATATCGATGTCACCTCTCGATACAGAGCGCCAGGTGCCTCCTCCAGGCCACCACCGACTATGTCGAGCGAAGTTAGTACACAACTGACAACCACTCGTCGGTCGCCCGCCACGGAAAAGATCATTAGACCCGAGTCAGGTCTTTCTGAGTCTTTCCGCATAACCTCATCGGAAGAATCGCTCAATCCCGAGTCACGGATAAATGTATTGCCCGTCTCTGCCTGGAGAATCACTCAATCCCGAACCCGCTCCATAGCTAGTGGAACATTGGCGCGGTTCTGAGTAAGCGTAGGATTTCCTCAACCCCGTGATAGCCGAATCACTCAAGACTATCCCGTGTATCATCGGCTCCAAGCTCTGCCCGTAGACAACCAATCACAATCATACCTCCTCAATATGAAACCCGACCCGGGTCGGAGATCACAAAGAGGAGATCTCAGACAGTGCAATCATCGTGATATCACCTCAACCCAACTACAATCATACGCTTAACCTTATCCCGGCTTTCCGGAATAAAGTCTCACGCCATGTGTGACACCCATAACCCGTCTCTCGCTCACGAGTTGTGCCACATGGACGCTCAAACATATAATAAAATAGCGGGAATTTAAAAATAATTATTTTATTACACACGCAGCAGAAAAACAAGTATATGTTTACAAACCCACGTACAGTAGTATACACACCAACATAAGGACGGTAACTATAATATAATACAAGGTCAAGTCACCGCCCGTACAAACCAACATAAGTCCAAAGAAAGAAAAGTACATGATCCAGATATCTCCTCACGCGTCACCAGCACCCTCGTCCTGCTGCTGCCAATACTGCTTCGTGCCTGAAACGTTGCATAACAACGTCCATAAGCTACGTGCTTAGTGAGTACTTCGGGTTAGACCCGAAGATCATACTCAAATTGCAAATGGCCAAACACAAGCAATATTATACACACAGTACATATAAGTGTATGCGTATATATACACACATTCCATGCCATCAAACATCGCTCACTCAATCGCACATATAATTCATTTATCACACACACTCAGTCCAAATGACAAGTCATCGGACATAACCGTTAAATCATCTCTATGTGCATCGCACACATAGGATACCGCAAGTATCTGGTCTCACCAGTCCAGGACACAAGTCATAACTCGACCCATCGGGTCTCTCAGTAATAACCGTACCGTCAAATCATCTCCACGTGTGCATCACACACGTGAGTAAGGACGCTCCATGTGCAACGCACATCCCCCGCTCTCCTCGGCAATCGCCGGAACAATAAAACACGTCATCCAAATCCCTACTCCATAAAACATGATACATCAACCATCCCCTCTGACATCGATGTCACCTCTCGATACCAAAGCGCCAGGTGCCTCCTCCAGGCCACCACCGACTATGTCGAGCAAAGTCAGTACACAACTGACAACCTCTCGCCGGCCGTCCGCCATGGAGAAACTCATTGGACCCGAGCTCAGGTCTTTCTGAGTTCCTTCGCATAACCTCGTCAGGAAAATCGCTCAATCCCGAGTCACAGGTAAATGTATTGCAAGTCTCTGCCGGGAAAATCACTCAATCCAGATCTCGTTCCATAGTTAGTGGAACGTAGGCGCGGTTACAGTGTAACCGTAGGATTTCCTCAACCCCGTGATAGCCGAATCACTCAAGACTATCACGTGTATCATCGGCTCCAAACTCTGCCCGTGGGCAATGAATCACAATCATGTCTCCTCAATATGAAGTCCGACCCGGGTCAGAGATCATAAAGAGGAGATCTCAACAATGCAACCATCGGGTGAGTACCGGCTCTGATACCATCTGTAACGACCCGAGGCCGCTACGAATTGTCGAAACTGCCCTCATACAGCAACCCGAGACCTTTCAGCGTGTTTTGTCCTCACTCGCACGCATACCGAGATACTTCCCAGTAGGTCACTCATCCTGAAATTGCTCCAGAGTCAGCACGCTTAACTTTGGAGTTCTCTCGGGATAGTCAACCAAAAAGGTAGGTGCACCTTGTTGCTATGAGTAGCTCAACTAATTCTTTTATGTTATCTTAGACCGTATAGTCCCATACCTATACAGCCCTCGGATCTCTCTCATTCCGGTGTGTTCGATTCATCCCTGTACCCCCTACCCAGAAGCTCGTCAGGAGCCGCCCCTTGTCCGTGTCTCTGCACTGGCGATCACTCCCCGCCCTCCTACGGTACTCTGGGTTGTCACACGTACCAAAAAGATGTGGGTAATGGTCGCGTATCTCCTGCTCTGGCTCCCATGTCATGTCCGAGACTCCCTGGCTTCTCCAGACGACTTTGACCAAAGGAATCTTCTTGTTCCGCAATCTGAAGTGGTTGATCGAGGATTCTGACATCACTGGTTAACTCAATCTCTTGTGGTCGTAATACATGCGAAGGATCCGCGATGTACTTCCGTAACATGGATACGTGGAATACATCGTGAATGTGGCCGAGTTCTGGGGGTAACTCCAATCGATATGCTACGACTCCAACCTTCGCAATCACAGGATATGGTCCAACGTAGCGCGACTTGAGCTTCCTTGTCTTCCCAAACCGTGTATGCCCTCTAATCGCATGCACTCGGAGAAATACAAGATCGCCCACCTCTACTGTAAAGTCTCTCCTCCTCTGATCCGCATAAGACTTCTGGCGATCCTGTGCGACCTTCAGATTGACCTTGATCTTGCGGATAACTTCTGTCATCTCACAATCTCAGGTCCAAAGATACGTCGCTCTCCGATCTCCGTCCAATACAAAGGCGTCTTACAAGGCCGTCCATATAAGGCCTCGTAAGGTGGCATACCTATGCTGGCGTGGTAGCTGTTGTTGTACGCAAACTCGCACAACGTCAGGTACCTATCCCAAGGAACTCTCTACTCCAGAATGCACGCTCTCAACATGTCCTCGAGCATCTGGATGGTTCGCTCCGATTGTCCGTCTGTCTGAGGATGATAAGCAGTACTCATCCTCAGCTGAGTTCCCATCGCGCTCTGAATGGCGCCCCACAGTCGCGCGGTAAACCGAGGATCACGATCTGAAATGATCTCACTCGGAACCCCATGCAAGCGGACAATCTCATCGATGTATATCTATGTCAGCTTCTCCACCGTATACTCTTATCTGATCGGAATGAAATGTGCGGACTTCGTCAATCGGTCGACGACCACCCAAATAGCATTCTTCTTCGTTGGGGTTGTCGGTAATCCAACAACAAAATCCATCGCAATCGAGTCCCACTTCCATTCCAGAACCTCCAATGGCTGTAACTTCCCACTGGGCATCTGTCGCTCTGCCTTCTCATGCTGACAGATCAAGCAATGTGCTACGAACTCTGCGACATCTCTCTTGATACCTGGCCATGTGTACCACTGTCTCAAACCCTGATACATCTTGTTGGCTCCCGGATGTATAGCCAATTGAGACTGATGAGCCTCTCGCAAGATGTCCTGTCTCAACTCATGATCAACTCGTGATCTGCCGGTACACAAAGTCGGTGATGAAATCGCAAAGCATGCTCCTCATCCATTTGATATCCCTTCTCACCATATCTGCTAATCTCATCGATAATCTTCTGCAGATCCGGATCATGACTCTGTCCTGCTATCACTCGTCTCCTCAAACCCAAGTCATGATCCTCCTCAATCTCCATATGTCCTAACATAGCTGATAACTCAACTATGTTCTCCTGCGAAGATGAGAGTACCTGAATAGCTGATAGGATCTTCTTCCGGCTCAAGGCACCCGCGACTACGTTCGCCTTGCCCAGATGATAGGCAATCTCCAAATCGTAGTAAACTATCAACTCAATCCATCTACGCTGTCGAAGATTCAGATCTTTCTGCGATATCACATAGGTTAAGCTTTTGTGGTCAGTATTAAGCTTAACCTTCTCCCCGTAGGATCTCCAAATCTTCAATGCATGTACCACTGCTGCTAGTTCCAAATCATGCATCAGATAGTTCTCCTCATGTTTCCTTAGTTGTCGGGATGCGTATGCATTCACATGTCCTTCCTGCATCAATACGCAACCCAAACCTTGTCTCGACGCATCAGTATAAACCTCGTAAAGAATACCTGGATGTGGTAACGCCAAGATGGGTGCGATCGTGAGTCGTCTCTTGAGCTCCACAAAGCTCGCTTCACACTCTGGAGTCCAGTCAAACCGCACATTCTTCCCCGTCAACTTCGTCATCGGTTTCGCCAACTTGGCGAAACCCTCGACGAATCTCCTGTAATACTCTGCCAATCCCAAGAAACCGCGGATCTCAGTGGCATTGGTAGGGGTCTTCCACTCCATCATTGCTTCAATCTTCACCGGATCTACCTGTATACCTTGAGCCGAAATCACGTGGCCCACAAATCCAACTTCCTGCAACCAGAAAGCACACTTGCTGAACTTCGCATACAACTTATGTTCCCTCAAGCGCTGCAAAACCATACGCAAGTGTTTCTCATGGCTGCGTCGATGCGGTGAGTAGATCAAAATGTCATCGACGAAGATGATGACAAACTCGTCGAGGTAATCCATAAATACACGATTCATAAACTGCATAAACATTGCAGGAGCGTTCGTCAATCCAAAAGGCATAACGACGAACTCGAAATGTTCATACCGTATACGGAAAGCCGTCTTCTGTACATCCTCGGCTTTCACAAAGATCTGATGGTATCCCGAGCGCAAATCGATCTTCGAGAACCACTGTGCTCCCTGTAACTGATCCAGTAACTCATCAATCCTCGGTAATGGGTACCGATTCTTAATGGTTACCTGGTTAAATCCTCGATAGTCGATACATAAGCGCATGCTACCGTCTTTCTTCTTGACGAATAGCACGGGTGCTCCTCAAGGTGAAACACTCGGCTGAATGAATCCCTTCTCCATCAACTCATTCAACTGCTTCTTCAATTCCACCATCTCTATTGGAGCCATCCGGTATGGGGTCTTAGATACTGGTTCCGTACCTGGAATAACATCAATACAGAAGTCTACCTCTCTCTTCGGTGGCAATCCAGGCAAATCCTCCGGAAAGATGTCGGGAAATTCCCGAACCACAGGGGTCTCATCTAACCTCACCTCAGACTCCTTCGTGGCAGTCACTACCATGAGAAATGCTTCATCCCCCTTCCTGATCATCCGGCTGGCCCGAAATGCTGATATAATCGGGAAAGGATTCCGTGCTCTATCCCCTAAAAACTCAAACTTCTCTGCCGCATCTGTGAACTGAATAACTCGCCGACGGTAGTCAATGTGTGCCTGATGCACGGTCAACCAATTCATTCCCAATATCAAATCATACCCCTGAATAGGTATTATAATCAGGTCAGATGAGAGATTCCTCCCACAGAGTACTAGAGGGATCCCGCGTAACACACCCGTCACTAGCAGAATCTCTCCCGAGGGGATATGTGTAACGACCCGAGGCCGGTACGAATTGTCGAAACTGCCCTCACACAGCAACTCGAGACCTTTCAGCGTGTTTTGTCCTCACTCGCACGCATACGAGACACTTCCCAGTAGGTCACCCATCATGAGATTGCTCCAGAGCCAGCACGCTTAACTTTGGAGTTTTCTCGAGATAGTCAACCAAAAAGGTAGGTGCACCTTGTTGCTATGACTAGCTCAACTAATTCTTTTATGTTATCTTAGACCGTATAGTCCCATACCTATACAGCCCTCGAATCTTTCTCATTCCGGTGTGTTCGATTCATCCCTGTACCCCCTACCCAGAAGCTCGTCAGGAGCCGCCCCTTGTCCGTGCCTCTGCACCGGCGATCACTCCCCGCCCTCCTACGGTACTCTGGGTTGTCACAGGCCCATCAGCTTCTGCCTGGTTCGTCCTCGAACCACACCGTACTGGGAGAGTACCGGCTCTGATACCATCTGTAACGACCCGAGGCCGGTACGAATTATCGAAACTGCTCTCACACAGCAACTCGAGACCTTTCAGCGTGTTTTGTCCTCACTCGCACGCATATCGAGACACTTCTCAGTAGGTCACCCATCCTGAGATTGTTCCAGAGCCAGCACGCTTAACTTTGGAGTTCTCTCGGGATAGTCAACCAAAAAGGTAGGTGCACCTTGTTGCTATGAGTAGCTCAACTAATTCTTTTATGTTACCTTAAACTGTATAGTCCCATACCTATACAGCCCTCGGATCTCTCTCATTCCGGTGTGTTCGATTCATCCCTGTACCCCCTACC